AGGGAGCGGGGCCCGGCCCGGCTCCCGCTCGCGTCTGGGGCTCCGCTGAGGGGCCTTAGGAAGCTCCCGAGGTAAACACGGTGGGAAGCCAGCCTTTCGAGGGGTGCCGGAGCGGACAGCCGCAAGGAAAGGGGGTATTTATCAGGTGAGATAGCAAGTGTTAGAGGGGGATCTGGCGAGGCGAGGAGGGTGTGCGTGGAGGAGAGAAGAAGCAGGCTGCCTCCTGCCAAAGGAGGGAGTTGGGGGTGACGGTCTCATCCCTCCCTGCTGAATATTCAGCGCCCCCCCGCCTTACCTGCTCTCCCTGAGCTCTGAGCCATGGCTCCTCTGCCTAATGGCCCGTCTCCCCGGGACGGCTGCGAGCCCGTAGATCCGCCGCGGCCTTTTCTTCGTTTCTCTCCTCCCCGCTTGGGTGTCTTGCTTTCCCCCGCTGACTTTCGAGATCTAGGCGCAACCACCCAAAACTAAACGGTTTAGATAACAACACACACACACCAGAGCACCACCACTACCAAAAAAAAAAAAAAAAAAAAAAAAAAAAATAGCCAGCCACAGAGAAAGAAACGCCGCTCTACTGAGCCGGGACAGGCTAAAAGGAGGGGAAAATAAATAACAATCAAAGCAAATGCAGCGCTGCTGCTTATAAAATTGGAGTGGAGCTCACCTGCTCCAGTCTACCAGGGCTGTGCAGCCAGGGAGGAAAGGGGCTGGGGGGTCCCGCGGGGATCCTGCGGGAGGGGGGACAACGCCCGGACTTGGAATCTGCTTCCCCTTGCCCCCCTCCCTCAAGCTGGCTACCTGTAGGGAAGTCTTGTTGTAACAGCAGATTAATTTGTTGTCTTATTACCATAAAAATGTGCTCGGAGAGGGGCTGGCAAGGGAGAGGGGGACGCGGGACAGAGGAGGAACTTCCTCCAAGTTGAAAAGGGAGGCGGTGGGCTCGGGCTGAGGGGGGAGCTCGTCGGGGACGGGCGGGGGATTGGTCTGGATGGTGGCGCAGCCCACCCGGGAGCTGGTAGCTCTCAGCTCGGGGTCCGGACACACTCCAGGTGGGGTGGTGGGGTACAGGGATTCCGCCGTTTAGTTTGGAGGCGACAGAAGGCAATCCTATGAAGTCTACCTCTGTGAGAGCCTAGATGTTTGCCTCTGAGAGATTATTTATCCGTCCGTCCATCCATCCATCCATCCATCCATCCATCCATCCCTCCATCCATCCATCCATCCATCCATCCATCCATCCATCCATCCCTCCATCCATCCATCCCTCCATTTATCTGTCCACTCCTCTCTTTTCTTGCTCTTACGACCACGTTTTGATAGAGGCTTTGCAACTGAAAATAAATAAATAATAAATAGAACAAAGCTCTAAAGAAAAGAAGAAAAATTCCCAGTGCTAAAGACATCACTGAATGAATATTTTTCTTTCTCTCTTTCTGCTCCCCCCTTCTATCTACCCATTGATTGAAAGTCTCTCTCAGCTCCAACAAGGAGTCCCAGGAAAAATGAACCATTCTGCTATCGATTCTTCATTAAAATTACATTTCTGCATTTGCTAAATTGGTTTTAAAAAGCTTCCCCTGTTATTATTGTCTTGTCAGAGCCGGCGGTGCTGGGCAAACAGTATTTAAAAGCTTGGGACCTCTCCAAGATGAGGCTGTTGGGGGTTATGTGTGTGCATGTGTTTCTTTTTCTAAAGTGTTTAGGAAAATGTTAACAACGCAGACTGGTGAAAAGCACGCCCAAGACAAGCGGAGAATTGTAAAAATAAGGAAGGCGGAGGGAACGCTTTCCTTCATATCACTTAAAAATCATCGATTGCCTCTTCAAGCAAAGGGGAAAAAAAAAAGTTTCATTTTAAATAATAAAACGGGGCACCAAAAGTCAATAATTGCAGCAAGGAGTATTTGCCTCAGACGCCGTCTCCAGCCCGGTGTGCAGCAGCCGCCGGATCTGTCTGGAGTGGTTCCTCACCTCCCTGCAGCCCCAGCCCTGCTCGCAGCCGCGCTGAAATGCTTCCTCGGTGAGATGTTTAAATAAGTCCAGCTAACCCTGACACATGCACCAGATTCCTCCGACCTTACCCCACAAACCCCACGGAATCCCCGTCCTCCCTCCCCAGACTGGTGTGGGAGAAACCCAGAAGGGACTCTGGGAGATTTACTTTGAATTCTGCAAATCTCTCTCGAAAGAGCAGGGAAGCAGAAATGTCTTCCTGATGTGTTTATCCCCTAATCAGTTCATTAGTTATAAACAACATGACATTAGAAGTTAGGAGGCAGTTGATATTAATTTTTATTTAACTAGTTGATGTTTAATCCGTCACGCCAGACTGCTTAGAGAGAGCTGCCTGACACAAACCAGTTAGAACTTCATACACCGCGATGATCGGCCGGGCATTGGGACAAACAAACGGCGGCGGGGGGGCGAGGGGCAAGGAAACAGAAGGGAAGGCAGCAAGGGGGAGAGGAGTAAATCCAGGAAAGAGGGGGGAAAGCAGCAAAAGAATCTGGAAAATTCCCCTTCCCTGTATAAAATGTTCGTGTGAATCGGCAGAGAAGGGAAGGGGGGGGACTAAGCATGAAAAATCTCGTCAGGAGGCTGAGCCGAGCGGGCCGAGAAGGGCAGGTGCCCATGGCAGCCACCCCTGCGGGCTATGGGGGGCTATGGGGGGCTTGGGGCGGGCAGGGCCGGGGGTTCAGCCCCTGCAGGCTGCGCGCCGTCGGGCAGAGCGGGGGGCACCGCCAAGAGAGTCCTCTCTTAATTAAAAGGGGCACAGGTTAATTAGCCCGAGGCTAGCCGAGGGAGAACAGCAACACATGGTGGGGCCGGGATAAACGGGAACCGGACTTTTCCCGGTTTCCCGGTGTGTAACAGTCCTCTTCGGTGCCAGACTGCGACCCTTAACCAAGGAGCGCAGGTGCTGCTACAGATAAATGGAGTGAACGATTTTGGGTACCTTAACGGGCACGCGTCTTTTCCTGTGTTAAAGCTGTGCTGAAGTATAATCTAACGCGAGTATGGAATTACAGACTTCCCTGTTAAAATCTCTTTTTTCTCCCCTTGCAGCAAACTGGTGCCCCACGAATGGTTATAGCGTACCTGTTTGGCTCTACACCATCTCTATACACGTGAATCTCTGCTCTTTACCCTGCCGACACGTTGGACGCCCACCCTCGCCTTTGCTCCCGAGGGGACGCCAAGCATTATCCAAACACCTTCCCCTTCTGTGCTGGGACCCCCGGCGTTTCTTCTCCTGCGTGAGTGCTGCTGTGTGTCCTCAGCGTGCCCTTTCAGATGTATTAATGCGAGCTATTATAACTATATCTGCGTGCATTTCACAATTAAAACATCTCTTGGCCAAGCAGGAAAACCCTCGGCAGCAGCTCGGTGCGTTGCCTGCCCTGGACGCCTGTTCCTCCGTGCGGCAGTAGCCGTGCCACTGTGACTACGGGAAAAGTGTTCTACGACACATATTTTAATATCAATTTCCATATTAATCAATCACCTCAAACATCTATCTGCTGGATAAAGGAAATAGTTCGCATTCCGAAGAAAATTGCCTGCTTTCCTGCAGTTAATAGTTAACTCCGTAATAGAAAGTTCCCAGGGAAATGCGGAGGCAGAGGGAGCGCGGCTCTTTGCTCCCAGCCAGCAGCGGCCGCCGCTCCCCCCCGGCCGCAGCCGCTCCTGACCCTCGGGGAAATCTCCCCTCTCCTCCGCTGCTGGCTCGGGCTCTGGCTGCCTGCACCTTTTGGGAAAGAAAGCAGGACGGAGCGCTTTCAGGAATAAACTCCTGATGGGGCTGTGCTGTGCAAAAGGGAGGCAGACAGGCTCTTTCCCCATAGTCCGAGACAGAAAGTGGTGCAACAGGTAATAGGGCAGACACCAGCGATACGGGGAGCAGGGACGATTTCCAAAGGCTGGGGGAAATGCACCTTGCTCGGCTCTTTGGGTTGAGAGCATAGTAAGGGAAGGGGTGCCTTTTCCTTTGTCCAACATCATTTCTCCCTTTCTCTGAGGCAGGGTGTGCTTCGAAGGGTGGAGAGGATATTAAAACCAGGGCCTGCGGAGGAACGGGCAAGGGAGATGCAAAGACAGAGGCGAGGCTGGAGCCCGGCCGGGGGTTTCGGCACTCGGAGGCTGCTCCCTGCGGTCCGGCCGAGCGCGGGCAGATCCAGCCCTTTCCCGGCACGTTCGGGGTGACTTTAGAGTTGCGGGATGTCCGTGCAGCCGCCGCTCTGTCCCGCA